CTTGACTCAAGTATCTGTCTCTATATCTATCTATCTCTGCAATTCTATCTTTTTTCGCTGGCTTTATTTGCCGGGCTTGTATACTAAAAAAGAGGGTGCCTGGAACAAACTAGAGTTGCCAGGAAAATTCATGATCCTTCGGGAAACTCCAGCGCGCATGCTCCCAGCTTTGTATGACTTCCGCTGTCGTAACTACACCAATAATTTTGATTATTTGGTTATATTTGTGAGTTGTGACACTGATAAATTAACTATCTGTATATGGGGTTTATCAATGTGGCTAACTTTCTAACCTCTGTGTAAGTGTGAAACTATACATACTGTAACTCAGAATGTACTAAGTGTACACAAATAATCCAAATTTTTAATAAAGTATTTTTACTAAAGACTTGTCTTTGAATTTACAAAACCTTCCGATTCAGTCTGAAGGGAAGAGGATTTTCATTAGAAATCATAATGACAATATTTCAGTTACTTGAATGCAGTTGAAATATTCAAAAATGATAATAATCAGATAATTTTTATGACATTAATCATAATTTTAATTTATTGTTAATTGGTGCTCATCGGTAGTTTAGTTAATTGCCCATCTCTTAGTTTCATTGTAGACTGATGAGCTTTGGTATTAAGCAAAAGCCTCTTTGGCCTCTAGTCTCTCAAAAACCAGTACAATATTGGAGGAAATATGATTTAAAAAACAACAACAAATAAACATGGTTTTTAGCTCTCTTACAGATTGTAAGTGTGGTCACCATATATAAAATAAAATGCTCTAACTTTAAGAGAGAAGCATTGGGCAAAATATGCTTTACAATTCTTTCTCCATCATTTTTAAAAGAAACTTGATTTCAGTGTGTATACAGCCAGGTGGAAAAGTATATATGTAGTGGACATTTTATTGACATAGAAGTAGTGTGTACACATCTGTAGTGGTTTGAAATAATTTGAAAAGGTATATGTTTATAATATTTGTAATATTTATTTTGCATTTTTAGTTTTTGTTGATTTAAAACTGATGTATGAAGGAAATGGGTAGAGACCACTGACACTCAACAACTTTTTTTTCTTCTTTGATATGTTGCATTATATACATAATACTAAAACTATGTGTCAGTTATTACTTTTGACCCCTCCTTCACTGAAACATGTATATATAGTTAAACAGTGAATTTTAATTTATACTGTTTAGCTCCCTCTTGTTAACAAATAAATTACAACATTAAAAATACATAGCTTATAACAATTCTGTTGAACTTCAAGAAAAGTATTATTAAAACTGTTCTACTTAGGATTAGAAGATGTATATATAAAAAAAGTTTGGTTAAAGATAAAATTTAAGTAATTACAGGTTCTACTTGAGAAAAAAAGGTACTTGTATTTAAAGTTTTGGTTAAAATTACATAGTAGATACTTTTAGGGTTTTCTTTAAATAGGAAGATACTAGTAATTGTTAAGGAGTTTTCTTATCAATTTTCTAAGTAAGCATTTAGAGACTAGTTGAAAGATTGTTCTTGTTTAAGAAAGGTTTTATGATTAAATGTGGCCATCAACTGTTGTTTCCTGTACAGAAGTCTACTTCTGGCATGAGGTGGACAGTCCACTTGGAGGGTGGTCCTCGCCGTGTTAACCATGCAGCAGTTGCTGTTGGTGAAAACATCTACTCTTTTGGTGGTTATTGTACAGGCGAGGATTATCAGATTGTCCGCCCAATAGACATTCATATGCTGAACACAGGTAAGAAATGCATCAGGGTTTTTTAGGCAACTTAGAAGATTATATATTGAATACAGCAAACAAGTACAATAGAATATTAAGTTCAATCTGCTTTTTTCATTTCAAATTATAGGTAAGGTTAAAATGGGTGTACTGTTATTTCATATCAAAAATAATAATTAAAAAGTCCCATTAATTTTCCTGTTTGTAATAAAGTACTTATATTTTTATAGTAAATATTGATTTGCATTAGAGATAATGTTCAAATGTTTGTGATTTCTTTATTAGTATTCAAAAAAAGATTGAATTCTAATTCATATTCTTTTGAAAAGTAAGTTTTAATTATGCATATTTATTGCTTACTAAAAAAAAGTAATGTTTCAATCATAGTATTTTTGTCATTTTCACAAAATAATGTAGTCTGAAATTATTTTGTCACGATATCAGTGTAACAAATGTGCAGGTAGCTCATTTAATAGAAAACAAGACATAAGTATTCTGTTATTTCTTTTTATCTTGATCAAAAAAGAGAGAGAGAGAACATAATATAAAATTTAATTTCTGTCAGTTGTTTCTTGGAAATATATATGCAAGACTAAAATAGAACCCTCATATATTTCTTGAGAGAAGGTGAAATAAAATCATGTAGCTACATTTCAGCATTGTATGAACTTACCTTTAGTTTTTATCCATACATTTTAGTTTCCTTAAGATGGTTTCTTCTTCCATCTTATGATCCCAGTGAACTAAGTTTTGACAATGTTCCTTTTCAACGTTATGGACATACTGTTGTGGCTTTTGGGGAGATGGTGTATTTGTGGGGTGGAAGAAATGACAATGGTGCTTGTAATGTACTCTATTGTTTTGACACGAGTGAGTATAGACAGTTTTTGCTACATATACTTCTTGTTGTGATGTTGATCATAAAGTTTTCATGAAAATGCTATTCCTTAAACTTGTTAGAAATATGCTTTTAGTCATTTACTACTGTGTTATTAAAGCTGTTATTGTAGAATGAATGGCCTTCAGGTATTGTAAAAGGATTTAAAAACTGTAAATGTATTTTATTCATGCTAGAAATGAACTTCTGATAATTCTCATGAAAAAAGGACTTTGAAGTTATTTTTATGATTAATTTTAATTTCCTTGTGCTAGATACTTATAAATGGTCTCGGCCAGCAGTTGTAGGTGTAATACCTGCTGCACGTGATGGACATTCAGCCTGTATTATTCAGAATTATATGTATATTTTTGGAGGTTATGAGGAAGTGGCTGACATTTTTTCTCAGGATGTTTTCTGTTTGAATTTGTACACCATGACATGGCAGTATATAGTTACAAAAGTAAGTAATATCAGATAATTAAACCTGTTCATCACAACAGTATTTTTTTACACAAGTAGTAAAACAACTTAAGATATAAATCATTACATTACATTTTTACTTAACTAAAAGATTGTAATCAGGTGAAACTGTAATAATGATACATGGTATATTTTCACCTAAATAGATATTTTAAAGAAGTAAAACTGAACTAAAGTATGTAACTTTGATACTGTAATACAAAATGAAGAAAAAATTACTGTTAAATCTTATTATATTATGAAACTGTGTGATTAAAATATGATAATATTCAGTAACCAAATTTGAAGTAATAAATCTAGTTTTTGTCATAACATTGTTTAATTCTTTGATAGATTGTTTAGGCAGAGTATTCATGATGAGTAAACTGGAATGGTTGGCAACTGCCTGTTGTAAACAAACACAAGTGTAGAGGACAACGTCCATTCTAGTTTGCTCATCAGCATAGTTTAATTTAATTGTATGATGTATTTGTATTTTTACTATTGCAAAAGCAGTTGTTAGTTATAAAAACTGATGACATTATTTTTTATGGCATTATCAAAACTAGTCTTTATGGATACAACAGGGAACACCAGCTCGCTGGCGAGATTTCCACTCATCATCAGCAATAGGGAGTAAAATGTACATATTTGGAGGACGTGGTGATCGGCAGGGTCAATTTCATTCACGGGATGAAGTATATTGTAATAAATTGGTTTACCTGGACACCTCAACAATGGCATGGGTCCATCCAGAAACCAGGGGTCCTGCTCCTATTGGACGCCGTAGTCATTCTGCATGTACATACTTTTTTGTTTCATTTCATAAAGAACAAATAATAAGATGTATACAAATTTGCATTTTTTAGAAATGTTTGAAAATGAAAGGTTGGATAAAGAAAAATACAAATGATTATTGAAGAAATTTTATAAGTAAATATGTTTTGTACTTTTAATTACTTAACTCTAAAACTGAACTCGGTTTCTCTGATCAACCTTGTAACCATGTAACCATACATACTATAATTCAGAATGTATTAAGTGTATCTTTAGAAAATTTGTCAAGCTGTTAGTAAATGTTACATAAAAAATCAAATATTTTAATGAATTGTTTTTACTAAAAATTTGTCTGTGAATTTACAAATCATAAACTGAGTTAGTCTGAGTAAAAGATGAATTTAATGCTAAGAATAAAAATACTCTTTTTTTCTTGGTTTACACATTTCATTTACATAACCTCTAGAACCTCCTAAATGAATATCACAAGTCTTTTTATTTTTTAATTAACACTTGTATTTTTTTCTACCCTAATTTCTTGATGACCTAATGATATAACATCTCATTCTTTTAATACAAATCTTCATGCTGGTAAGGTTAGTCTTTAGTCTGCTCAAAATTTCATAATTTTTTTTAGACCCAAATACAGCTTAATTACTAAGCTTGATAAATTGTAGTGGAATTCTGTGGTATCACTGTAGTAATTTATGATGTTTTGGTTATTTGAAATATATATCTAAAACCTAAAAAAAAAGGATTTTATTTCACATCCTCCATGTGTGAAATTTTATAAGGCTTAGAAACCTACAACAAGCAGCATAAAGAGTACAAAGGACATAACTAGAAGAGATAGTTGTTTGCTTTAGTTCTTTATTTATTGTGCTATACTTTAAGAAAAATAAGTTTGAGATCTTGTTTGTAAATATATATTATGTATTATAATTGAAATGTGACTGTATTTTACAAAATACTAGTCCACTAAAACACAGTCATAACTGGTCACTTTGTAAAGACTAAAGGTCACTCTTATATGATTCATTATTGTAACATGATATTTAAGCTATTTAGTCTAAACATTCATGATTTTTGTTATAATCTGTAGTCATTCTAGAAAGAAAATGAAAAAAGGATTGAGAAATACATTGCTTAACAAACTTTAAGACTTAATAATAAAAAAAGTGATATTATGTGTTTGAAGAAAGCCTTGTAATGTTTACTGATAATATGCCAAATTTTGTGAACATACACTTACTAATTTATGTTATAGCATGAAAACTATAACAATCACAAAATGGTTACGAGGTTGGTCCCAGGGACTGAGCCCATGCTGAAAGTTAAATTTTTTTTTGTTAAAGTTAAGACATTAAAACTTAGATAATATAAAGATTCAAATTATAAACTACATTTAGATGCCAAGCGTATTTGATATTTTACATTGATAGTAAAGTTGTTTAATTAAATTTTGAATGTAACTGTATAAAAGCTATGACGTGCACACTTTGTCATACCCAAACCTTAAGATTCAAATGTACTTAATTATGGAAAATACTATATAATTTGAGGAGGTCACATGGTTAATTTATCAAACAATTAAACATATTTTAGTACTGTAAAAAAAGTTTGTTGAAAGCTAAATATAAATTTTTAATGTTTTTTTTTTCAGTTTGAGAGTTGAAAGTTTTGGTTGTTTGTACAGAGTTTTGAAAATTACTATGTACTTTCAACTGTGAACATAATTCATTTTTCGCTTATTATAGTTGTGTTCCAAAATCATCTATATATTTTTGGAGGATATAATGGACTTACAGACAGACATTTTGGTGATCTGTATAGGTATAACCCAGGTATGTATAGGGCAAACTGTTTAAGTTTGATATCTACTTACAGACATGTATCTGTATATTTTGATATGTATGTATTTGGTAATGATGTAACTAGTGATGTGTAATAAGAAAAATTGTTCCCATGGTATTATTGGTATTATTTTTCTTTAAATAGAAATAGTTTATAACTTGGGCAAAAGGGTTGAACTTGGTACCTTTGTTGATTATGTGTTTCCATATTTAAAAAAAGTACCAGTTCTGAGTTTTTATTCAAGAACAGTCTTAAAAGATTAGTGCTTGTAGAAATTTATATTTCATTTATTTTGGGATTTTATTGTAAACATTTGTGACTGGATAACAAACAGCATGAAATTCAAAGAGTTAATATTAAAAACAGCCATAATACTTTTGTTAGCTAATCTTTGCTATATGATGTACACTATCCTACCAAAAGTCTTGGGACACACCTGTTATTGCAGGAAAATGGATGTGATGACAAAATATGCAAATAGTTTGGCATATAAGGGTGATTAGTGGTTCACTCTGAAGTCATTTCGAACTTGTACACCAAATGATGAGTACTCAGAAAGAGCTAACAGTTTCAGAGGGGAAGGATAGTTGGATGTCATTTGGGGAAAATGTCTGTATGTGCTATTGCTTAACAATTAAACATTTCCAGGTTGACAATTGGCAATGTGCTTAAGAAATGGTATTCCACAGGTGACAATGAGTGCAAGAAACAACCAGCTAGGTGTAAAATACTGATTGACAGGAGCCTATGCACCTTGAAAAGGCTGGTTACCTCATCTTGCCATCAGATTCTAAAAAATCTGTGTTTGTAGATGTGAGCAGCCACAGGCAATCCTAAAAGTGTTTCCAAGACATGTTGAGAACTGCATGTCATGAATTTTCACAGAAGAGCTGCAGCCAACAAGCTGTTGATAACAAAAACAAAAGCACACCATGGATTGGCATAGGGCAAGGCACAACGAACCTGGACCGTGGATCATTGGAAATTGGTTCTGTGGAGCAATAAGTCATGCTACATGCTCTTCGAATCTGATGGATGTGTTTGGGTATGGAAAATGCTTGGAAAACTCTTATTACATGAGTATGTTGTTCCAAGAGTGAAGTTTGGAGGTGGCCGTATCATGGTCTAGGGAGCGCTTCTCATGTATAGACTAGATCAGTGGTTCTCAAA